GACGTAACTCATCGTGACGTAGGCAAGTTATGTTATACAAATTGGATAAAATCTTTTATCCAATCAAATGACGTGTTACAAGTAAAATTAAATTATTTAAGCAATGAATTTAATAGCTTCCCATTTTTAGGTCACCTGAGTAAACTCAGGTGACCTATTGCTATCTGTTTTCGTGCGTCGTCCGTCGTCCGTCGTGCGTTAACATTTGAACATTTTCAGCTTCTTCTCTGCAACCACTGAACCAATTTCAACCAAATTTGGCACAAAGCATCTATGGGTGAAGGGGAACAAAAATTGTGAATTTCATGATCCCTGCCCCTCTAGGGCCTGAGGGGTGGGGCCAAAACCACTAAAATTAATGCAATCTTTAAAAATCTTCTTCTTTACTCCTGGACATCAAGCAGTCAAACTGTTTGCATGATTGTAATCAACAATAAGCCCTCTACCAAAATTGTGAAATTCATGGCCCTGGGGTCAGGGGTTCTAGTGCTAGGGCGGGGCTAAATAAGTAGGTAGTGAAAATGCATTATTTCTTTGAAAATCTTCTTCTCTGCTCCAGGGTATTAAATAAACTAACTTAGTACATAGTTATGATGAGCAAGAGTACCTCTACCAAAATTGTGAATTTTATGGCCCCAGGGTCAGGGGTTCTGGTGTTAGGGCGGGGTCTATTGATTATATAGTGAAAATACATGAATTCTTTGAAAATCTTCTTCTCTGCTCCTGGGTATTAAATAAACTAACTAAGTACATAGTTATGATGAGCAAGAGTGCCTCTACCAAAATTGTGAATTTTATGGTCCCAGGGTCATGGGTTCTTGTTTTAGGGTGGGGCTCTAATGATTATATAGTGAAATGCATGAATTCTTTGAACATCTTATCCTTTGCTCCTGGTTAATATACTAATGATCTAATTACATATTAAAGGCCAGGGTTTATTTTATTTTCAGTGTAACAAACCCTTCGCTCAAGGTTTTGAATTTTCAGAAAAAATATAAAAAAAAATTCTTTCCGATGTCAAATTTGAGTCGGGATCGAGATTTCAAATTTACGAACTCGAACTTCCGGTTTTAAGATGAAACGGCGGGTAAATAAAGCTAGATCTGAGAATATAGATTTGATTAGTGTGAAATTCATCGATACGAGTGCCATTCAAAACGTTTCACCCGTTCAAAGGACAGATAAAATGCTGACGACTTTGTTGCACAATGAAATGCTGGTGAGATAATTATGTATTCGTTTCAAAAGTATCTGTCTGTAAATTATTTTCCTCCCCAGGTTTTAAACTGCCCGTGGTAGCTATTGCATATTGCCAGCCTCATTGCTTAGGTCTCTGTTATAGCTTACAGTCTAAGCATCATTCTTCAGAAAAGGGTTGCTTATGCATCAGATGTAATGAATAAAACTATGGGAGAAGTTAAGTCCATTTGAGGAAGAAATAAACAATAACCTGAAGAAATAAAAAAAAATTCAACTATTAAAAGGCAAGAATATACAAATATATACAGGCATGTAGTATCATTTGTATCAGCCAGAAAAATTATTTTACACTTAATTGAAAAAATGTTCATCCTACTCCCCAATACTCCGTCTGTTTTATGATAGGAATTATAATTTTAGGCATCAAGTAAATTTTAGAACAATGTCTACACATTCACCTAACACATATTTAAAAAATGAAGATATATTGAAAGACTTTTAAAGAATTGATTTTTAAAAATATATTTTGACCAACATCACAAAATTTATACATAACTGGCCCAAACTGGCCCAAACTGGCAGATGATGAAATAAGCAATTAAATGTTCTACTTTCCTATTTGTAAGCATTTATTTATGTGTCCAGTGGTAAGGAGCCTATTAGAATAGCATAAAAAAAGAATGTACAAATGTTCATTATTGATTTATCAAAATTTTTTTTTTATACAGTATTTCCTTCTCCTTCGGGACTTTTTTATTCTCATGTTCATAACTAAAACTAAACATAAAAAAATGCTGGCCTTATAATGAAGAAAGGGGCCTCTTTCAAAATAGATAATTTCAGGGCCGCTGGGTCAGGGGTACCAGGGGGGTACTTTGACTAAAAATAAATTAATGCTTTGAAATCTGCCCTTTGATAAGCAATGGTGCCTCCTTCAAAATTTGTGAATTTCATGGCTTTTGGATTAAAACACGAACCAAATACAATCACTGGAAAGTTGTTACATAATACTCAGGTGACCTATAAGGCGCGTGGGCCTCTTGTATACGGTATAAACTGGGTTGGGGCAGTTTACGCTTTATGCGGTTTATAAAAAAGCGCAAACTGGTCATTATGGTGGCAGCTCTGACCATGCCTCTCCAGTTCTGACTCGGAACAAAGACATGCAAACCACTGATTGTCTAATCCCAAGAATCATTAAACACATATTTTGCATTAATATAATATATTTTATTATACTTTCATGTTAAATACTTAAATCTGATTGGTTTAGACGCAGTTAACAATCCGTTCTATTACCCTCAGCCTTAGCAACGCATGTGACAACGGGTAACACAACGGTTATGCCACATGCGTGGATATAATGCGCGTACGGTTCACCGTAGAATTCTCAAAACGTCAGTTGCGCGTTTGGAAGAACTGGAATAAACTTGACGTCAATAAAAGCTTGCGTCCGATGTAGCTTACTTGAAAACAACAAATGACAGACGAAACATGCTTGCGAGTGCAGAAATAACGAAACTTTATATGATAAAAGACTCTTAGAGTATCAAACAAACGTCAATAAAAAGGTCAGTCAATCTTTTTAGAAGTAGCGAGAAGTTAAACGTGAACGTAAAGAAGATCGACGATTTTTTTGCTGACTTAATTTAAGAAGACATTCAGTATAATAAAATAAATGGTGCCTGTTTTGGAGGGTAACAGTTGAAATTGCCACCCCTCGGAAAACCATTGTCAACCTCCGCTGACGTGTTGGTTGACAATGGTTTTCCTCTGATATCAATTTCAACTGTTACCCTCCAAAACAGGCACCATTTATATAATGTCATTGAATAAACATGTATGGTAAGATTTCATTAAAAACTTGGAAAAACTTTTAAAACAAAAAATCTAAACATTAAATAATTTTATGAATTACGAGCAAGACGAGGTACCAATGTGATATACGGTTTTTACTAGTTAATATATTTATATAGGGATAAATAAAAAATGCTCATTACTTTCACAGGTTCAAAATTGATTGTTGTTGTTTTACATGTTTATGAAATCATTTCACTTATATGAGACATCACTGGTAAAGGGCTTCAAATATTAGCAGTGAAACACCTTTTGTGACAAGAGGGCTTCATTTTGTAGGCCCTTTCACTTCAAAGTGCCGAGTGGTCGGCAAAAATATGTCTGATCCATTTGTCTCTCAACCCTAATTGCCCTCTCTACGCTACACACTAAAGAGATCTGAATCTATTGTATTTTTTTCGCTTGTTAGAATTACCTGCCTTTAGATCTAAATGACAATGAATAGAAATATACAGTATATCACTCAATTTGTAATCAATTTAACCATTCTCATCATTTCTAAAAGCCAAGAGAAATACAGTGAACGTGTCATTTAAAAGTATTTAATTCATGGAAGTAAAATGGCGCTTTGTTTGAACATTTCCTGTGGGTAAATGCCACGTACCATATATTGAAATTAAACAGATAAGTTTAATATTTATACATTTATTCAAAATTATTTTTTCAATGGCCAAAAGCATTATTCTTTAGGGTAAGAGGATCCTTAAAAATAATATTGCAAAAAGCGATACAGTGCGTTATTTTTTAATCTAGCTAGTGATATTCCAACAAACAATAAAAAATACACTTGTTTCTTTATTCTACTCGTAAATTTCACTTTCACCCTTTTTCTTAGATTTTAAAGAAAGAGAAGATGACCTGACATGGTATAAAGGTAATAATATATATATCCACACAACAAAGAATGTTTTGATATCAAAATGATCAACAATACCTAACAGGTAATAAAAAAGATCTGTACAAAACTATGAAGTTTTGGTTAAAACATTTTTTTCTCAATATTCATTAAGGAATTGTATATGAAAATAAAATTTATTCTAGTAACGAAAATAAACTGTAGTTCCAATTAATAGAAAATCAATTATTTTTAGTATGTGGTACTGTAAATGTGTTGTAATTTATGTCATGTTGCTTGCTATAGACGGAGCCCTGGATCACTTTAGTTCAGGACTACCGTCCAGTGTTAATTCAAGTGGACATTTCGGTAATATTTCTCATTACTACTATTTATGAAGAGAGAGAGAGAGAGAGAAAGAGAGAGAGAGAGAGAGAGAGTACTACTTCTACTGAACGAAAAAACAGGTCATCTCACAAGAAACGATAACAGTTGCTTTAATGCCTCCATAGATTCGGTAGTATATGGTTTCTGTCTTGTCCGTACGTCTGTCTGTCTGTTTTTCCGCGAAAACCTTGGTCATAACTTTTAATTTGTTGAAGCTATGGTTTTCATATTTCACAGGTGTATTTCTTGTTACAAGATTTTCCTTAGGGTACCAACATTTTTGATTTTCGACATTGACCTTAGGAGTTTGACTTGCATTTGTGGAACTTCAACTCCCGCCATAAGCTGCCATACGGGGGCATCAGTGTATCACTAACACATCTTGTTTACATCTACAGTTACTTTTGTATATAAGAAGCAATTCAGTACTGCAAAGTATATATTCAATCATGAACATGCATTTTGGTATTTGCTATTTGTTTTCAAAAATAAAATTTGTTTAAAAATTTGTGTTGGATTGATAACTTTTTAAAACTTTAAAAATATAATAATTAAGAACATGGCACCTGATCCAACCTCTGATGTTTTGGAGGTCCGTGTTTTCTCTGCTCCTATTTTGTATTGACTATTGGACTTTTGAGCTTGAATACTTTTTGCTATCTCCATAAACTTAATGTTAAATTTCATTTGTTGATGACATAGAACATTTTTTTAAGATCGGAGCCACCATACATCAGGAGTAAGCAGAAATTTGAACCAGAGACCTGTGTACACTCGCGAAGGTTACTTTATGTTTTATATTCATTAATATTCCCCTCTTTTTAAAATAATATTTCCAAATATTTTTTTTTTGTATTTCCTTAAGACTTTTTGTCATCCAAAATTAACTAAACGTAAGAAAATTTCATAAATTTAAACATACTTGTACTCAAAAGAATCAGGTTTTTTGCAATGGGGTATAAATAAACAGATTTTTATTCCATGAAATTTATGTTCCTTAGTTCCCCTGCAAATAAGAATAATTTTAAGCAGAATTTTACAGACCATCTGTATAACATTGAGAACATTTTAATTAAAATAACATAATTAAAAACAGTCAAATTAGGCAACTTATATTTAATTTTAAATGAGAAATGTTAGGGTTGTTTGTATTCAAAGCTTGTAAAGTAGTCATGATAATCGAAAAATTCAAGTTTTTCAAATATTTAACTTTAATAGCATGGTATTGATTACTACGAAAATAGGGATTTTTCATAAAAAGTTAAACGGTATTACTGTTCATGGGACTGATTTTGATTTCTTTTATAGATGGTTATAGTAGTACGTTTGAGAGTGATCCATCTATTTATCTATCTGCAAATATCCAACACCAAGAAGGTAATTCCTTGTATTATTGCAACTTTGCAATATAACATTTCTTCAAAGACAAAATCTTGTAAATTTTTGTTTTTCTTATTTACAAACTCTGTGCACATAATATTTTTAACAGACCATTCATCTTATCAACCTTTATAATATCAAATATATGTCGCACTATATAGAATTTTGGAGGATTTTTTTTATTAATGATGCTTACAACATGTTTGTCAGTTTATCTTTAATTTATTTAGCTTGTTAAAGTTTCTTTTCAAGTAAGTTGAAATTTTTCAATTGTGCCCCTTTCAAATACGATACTTATCAAAATAAGCTTAATGGAAAAAAAAGACAGAGGCTTGTTAATACGTCTTACACGAAATGATGAAGAGATTATACCAACAGGTATATTTTGCAGACAATGTTGAATCAGAAATGGAGACGGATGAGGATGTAGATGCAAAGGAAATGCTCTCTGACGGTAAATTCGTGGATATTGAAAATTATAAATAGTTTATTGATAATTATATCTTAAATAATTACAGTTTGTCAACAATATCCTTTTTCAATGTATAAATTATTTAAGAATATTTGCCTGTTTAATGAAAAATATTTTAAAGAAAAGAAAATTTACAATGTCAATAAGTCTATTTTACAGAGACAATGATTCGGCGAAATTATCGATACCTTAAAGATGAGATTGATCCAAAATACATAGTTGACGATCTCATTGAAAATAATATCATAACCGACAACGAAAAGGAAGAGATCTGCAACCCATATAAAGCCAGGCACAAAAGAATGGACATACTTTTGAAAATTCTTTTACGAAAATCCAGTTTTGAACATGGTTCTTTCTTATTAATAATGAAAAATCTTTACAAGCATGTGGCTGAAATTTTAGAAAAGACTACGGATTTCACCAAAAGAGACGGTACGTTGGAAAATATCTTTCTTCATAAATTTTTAGACCTGTTACGATAGCCTATTGGTAGAGCGTTTGCTTCGTGATATGCAGGCCTGGATTCGATTAAAATTCGCGGCGACGCATCAAACCTAATACGTAAACATAGGCAGTTACTGTTTTTTCGCCAAGCGCTTGGCATTATAAGTGAAAGTCATGAGTCCCTTTTCTAAGGAAGGAACTCTTTAAAATCATATGTAAGTTTTGAATGTTTTTAATATCCCAAAAAACCAAAATGAATTTGAATATACATATATACCGGCATATTGGACTCCAAAATTTCATAAGAATCCTTGCAAACAAAGATATGTAGGGGGTTCTAGTAAATGTTCAACCAAGCCTCTATCTTCACTCCTCACTAGGATAATAACAATAGTGAATAAAAACTTCAAGAGTACTGTGCAACAATATATTCAAAAAGTGGTGTGAATTAGATGTGGATACTTAAACATTCCAAGAAACTTTTGGTCAATTTGAAATCACAAGTTTTCACCAAAATCATCAGCTTTTTAAAAACTTACGACTTTTCAACTTAAAACACAACCATTCCCTACGATAAATTAATGTCCAGGCTTTTTGATATCATCGACAGCTGTTTTTCAATAAAAATGAAACTCGTAAATTTACTTACCTTGTTATTGGTCATTTGCAAGTTATTTTGTTAAAAAACATTCTGACTGTACACACAAGTATTCTGAAGTTGACATCAAAAAGATACTTCAGTTTCTGATTGACAATGTCTATATTCTTTTTGGAGACCATGTCTTCCAACAATCTATTGGAATTCTCATTGGTACCAATTGCGCTAATTGTTATTAGCAGACATATTTATGTATATAACTATTTATATAAAGCAGAATTTGTCCAAAATCTTATGCTCGACAAGAAGAAAACACTTGCTCTGGCCTTCAACTGTGCATTTAGATATATCGACAAAGTATTCTCAATAAAGAATGGTAATTTCCATTCTTATGTCTATACGATATATCCTGGTGAGCTTAGGATAAAAGATACCACAGAGTGTGACACATCTGTTTAATAATTGGATATTTTACTTGAGAAAGACGTGAATGGTAATCTAACAACCAAGCTCTATGATAAACGTGATGACTTTAACTTTTTTCTATCGTCAACTTCCCTTACTTATGCAGTAATATACATGTACCTTCATCACCTGCATACGGAATGTATATATCTCAGTTGATTCGATACGCAAGAGTATGCTCTACGTATGAACAATTTCCAAAACGAGGTATATTAATGACAAAAGAGTTGATGAAACAAGAATTTCAGCAGTCTCGTTTTAAGACATCATTTCGTATATTCTATGGCCGATACAATGACCTTGTCAGCAAATACAATTCATCATTGAGTTAAATGCTGACTAACGTTTTTCATACTAATTGTTGGTATATAATTAATACTCTGAATTGACGACGGATTTTTTCGTTATTTTCCGTTCATGACAAGGAGCACACGGCGGGAGTGACCAGTTTGCAGGGGATACTCATTCGTCCATGGTCCCTGATTCCAACTCCGATGTTTTGGAGGTCCGTGTTTGCTCTATTCCTATTTTGTTTTGTTTTATGGACTTTTGATCTTGAATACTGTTCGCTATCACCATATGTTTCGTTGTGAATAGTAAAGATAGGGGTCTGATAGAGTATTTGCTTGACCTGGCAATGTATCTTTGTTTGTAAAGATTTTTATGAAGTATAAGAATCCAGTATTGGCATATCGAAATCACCTCGGCTAATAAGGATATAAAAAGGACAACCATATAGAAATTCCAAAATATTATTGGAGGACCTCGTCTCCAAAAACCACATAGATATTATCAATTTATCATTGAGAAATTTAAACATCTATGAAATATGGAAGCTCCATGTCAATCTAAACAACACAAACCAGGAGCAGAGCAATTATGGACCTCTAAAACATAAGAGGAGGGATCAGGTGCCATGGAGGAGTGAGCATCCCTGTATATGTTTTGTAGAATCAGAATATTTTTGCTAAATGTCAAAATATACCAATTACAAGGTATGTTTTGTGTGTTCCATTTTTATTGAAAACGCATCTGTCTATAATGTCAGAGTCTTGACTTTAATTTTTCGTGGGGATTGGTTGTATTTAGTGTTGAAAATTCTTCTTTTCGATGCTACTGATTTGTTACCACTTTATGCTTTGAAATTTTCTTAAAGTATCCATATCTGATTGATACCGCTATTCAAAGAAATTTTTTAGCACATTCAGGTTTACTTTCACCACTGTTAATATTTGATGAGGTGTAATGAAAAGAGGTTTGGAAGGACATTCTATAAAACCCGCCTTGGTTCTCTTTTTAAAGGATTTTATGGCGCTTAGAAATTCATTAAAGATAAAGTAACTCAAACTCACTGTTGTTGTTGAGAATGTTATAATTATTTCAATCTTATTACTTTCAAAAATTTCCTAAAAAAGAGAACTACGATTAGGTTTGAAAACCTTTAATAGAATTAAATCCAAGTCTCTCTAAAATTCAATTTTAATGATTGATTTTAAAGAAATAGATGGTTACCTGCCTTATTAACTGGGTGATGTACATATTGATCAGTTAATATCCTTTTTTATTTTATATGTGATGTATTTTATATGTGAATTATTGAAGATAGAGGTATATAATTAGACATTTCATAAAGTTCTTCACTTCAACCGTTAGATTTAATTAAATTTTTAATCAAATTTGAATTATTTTAGTTAATGTGTTAAAGCCACATACAACTAAACGCAAATATAGCAGTGGAATCATGAGTGTTTTAAAACAATTTGATTGTAGAAATGCAAGATCTTGGAAAATGGATTGACCGTATAAAACATTCCAAAAAATACCTTTCAAAAACGATCAGCCCCACCAGTACAGTTGATTTCCTTTTGCAAGAACTTCCCGAAAATGAGTTTTCTTTAGATATGCATGACAAGATTTTGCATGAAAATCGCACTGTGTGTGAGCAAGCGAATTTAGCACTTGATTTCATAATAGAGACAAGAATTTCATCAATTCTTTCTTGCTTTTTGGAATCTTTACCACATGCTCAACACAATAGAAGTGGAGAAGAGATAATTGCCTTACTGATGAAAGCAGGTATATGGTTTTTTTATTTGATTACTGTAGTTTCATAAAACTAATCCGTTGGATGCCAAGGGAACTTTTCTCCTTGATATGTGGGCATTATTTACTGTCTATAACGATATCAAAAATTAAAAAAATATGCAATCAATTTAATAATAAGATAAAGTAAAATTATGTACTCAGTACTTCTAAATTTTAATATAATAATAAATTTCTTGCAAATAATCAAAAATTGTACGTGGCACTCGTATAATGATTAATATTTTTCTGAAATGTTCATGCATCGCGTCGTTAACACATCATTAACATGTCTCCTTCAAACAGATTTTTTCGTAACTTGGCGAATTTTAACGGCCAGGGGGGTAAACTGTGTTAACAAGAATAACTTGTGTACGCAATTTAAGAAATAAGTACCTTGATAATTTGAGATAGCACGGTATGTTTTCAAAGACTTTTTTTTCAGATTTATTGTTAAATATATGGAAAATATTTTAATAGAAATCAATTAACAAATGTTAGGTATTAGATCTGACATTTTGAAATCATACTTTTGTTTATATAATTTTATAATTATAATGTTTAGCGGAAATATTTTTTCTTGATTGATTGATTGTATATTGTTCAACGAAGATTCATGCAAAGACATGGAGATCGATGTAAAATTCCAACAGTCATTTAATCCAAAGAAAAAAGCCTTACATGGTATGTAATATTTCTATTCTCAAATTTAATTTATGGCAGAAAGGTAACTATACTGATATTCCTTATAAAGCTATGTACAGAAACATTAAATTTAAAATATAACCTATATTATCCATTTGCCAATCCAATGAATTTTCCTGGAAAAAATGGAAAAGTTTTGATACGGAAAAACTCAGTAAATCATGAAAGCACTGCATAGAAGAGAAATATAAAATAGTTTAATAGTTTACCGTCTAATTACTTCTCTTCACAAGGTTAGTCATGTATTTAAGAAGCCATGTGCATGTATAAAATTACATAATGTTTCTTGTCAGGAATAGCCAAGGAATCCTGTTTCAGAGCTGTCGAGATATATGTTTGAATTCGATTTAACATATATATGTAGTCAAATTTGCAAAAATTCGGTAGACCAACTTTTGATTTTTTATTTAGAATTTATCTAGAATTACAAATTCGGCAAGCCTTTCATAGCAAATTTAATTCGTTATGATGAATTCAATAAATCTCTTATAACAGAAAAAATGGAATTACTGGAGATCACTAAATTTTCGCGACACCTTATTTTCCCGATATAGTCATTGACTCTTGATTAGCGAGACAAAATTTTCACGAATTGTGGTTATTGCTCTATAAAATCTTATGAAATACTATTATACGCGAGAATTTAATTTTTGCGAGCACACTGTCTCGCGTAATTACGCAAAAATAAAGTTCTCGCGAATAAAAAGTGATTTACAGTACTTTAGGGTTCATCATAATATGCTGGGTTTTGAAATGTTTCCATAAGGATTTCTTTTATTCGTAATACTTTGATCTTAATATTATAATATTGCATGAATGACATTGTGTTTAAGAATTATTTATTTGTAGTTAACTAATTTGATAAGATTCGGAACACATGTAAAAGTCGTCCGATTTTAATTTGAAAGTATCATATAAATGTAACAATTTACCTGAAGGCAATGTCTACACCACACCGTATTTCAACAGGTTCTACTATTAGAATGAGAATAGAAGGATCCAGAGATCTTGAAGAAGAAATAACAAATGAAATCAATACAGACACAAGGATTGAGGAAATTACAAATAAAATGCTTCACCTTAGCATAAAAAATGCTCATTTGGGATCAGTCGTTATAATAGTTAAACCATTGACTGAAAACGCCCTTCAGGTATTGGACAGCAACCGAGTCAAATTATTTCTTCAGGAACTGTTTTCTGATATGGATATTAAATTTCCCGAAGAAGGCCTGAACATTCGGGTTGAAGTTTTCATAGGATGTGATGAAAAATGTAAAAGTAAGAATATGCCAATATTTTCTATCTTAATGCTATCATATTGTCTATATTTTCTATCTTAATGCTATCATAATGTCTATATTTACAGTCAATACCGGAAATTATTGCCATTTTAAAGAATTTTATTTATACAAGAAAATTAAACGTACATTCAATTATTCAAGTTGTTGCATATCATTCTGACGAAAATACATATAAAGATCTTTTTAGCGTATTTAGCCAATAATCTTCAACTTTTATCACCGTATTCATTAATGTAGCCTATATTTTTAGTTTCAGGTGTTGAAGACATAAATATTTGTGAACTAGATGAAAACAAAGCATTGCTTTTAGATGAACTAGAACCACTGAGACTTGTGGAGAGTGAAAATATTAAAAGAATGCTAGATGATGATGAAATTCAGCAAATTGAATTACAGCATCAGCGTCGACAAAGGGTGACCGTATTTTTAGAAATGGTAGAGCAAAGGGGAAGAATAGGACTGGAGACACTTCTGCAGGAGCTTAAGTCAAAGAATGAAGAATATATTCTTAGTAAATGGGTTTCGAATAGCAAAATGTTGAACGCAACACAGAAAGGTATTTTATGCTGACTGACGTTTTTCATACTTAACTAATTGTTAGTTCATTAATTATACACTGAATTGACGACGGATTTGATATTTGATTTTGTATCGAAATTGATTGATTGATTGTATACTGTTTAACGTCCCTCTCCAGAATATTTCACTGATATGGAGACGTCACCATTGCTGGTGAAGGGCTGCAAATTTAGGCCTATGCTCGGCACTTACTGCCTTTGAGCAGGGAGGGATCTTTATCGTGCAACACCTGCTGTGACACGGGGCCTGGGTTTATACGGTCTCATCCGAAGGACCGCCCCATTTAGTCGCCTTGTACGATAAGCAAGGGGGTACTGAGGACCTATTCTAACCCGGATCCCCACGGGGTGTATCGAAATTGTATTGTATGTCCATTATATATACACTGAATTGACGACGGATTTTTCCGTTATTTCCCGATCATGACAAGTAACACGGCGGGTGTGACTGGCCGGCAGGGGATGCTCACTCCTCAATGGCACCTGATCTCACATCTCATGTTTTGGAGCTCCGTGTTTGCTCTGCTCCTATTTTGTATTGTTTTATGGACTTTGATATTGAGTACTGTTCGTTATCTCCATATACTTCATCGACACATTGAATCAAGCTTACATGAAATATATAGGGTTTTACGTTGCGGGTTTAAATCCGACTGCGGGACATTGAGACTCATTCTCTGGATGACACAGTATCAACTGAGGTCCCTTGTCGAAGTAGGTGTTTGCACATAAAAGATCCCTAACTATTCAATGGCCCTAAGTACAGATAAGTGTTATGTATGGGTCAGAATAACCCTAAATGCCAGCAAAGATCAATCACACAATTTAAATTTAACAATAATTTATTAACATTAATATATACAAATCATAGAGTACAAACTTAGCAAGAATCTAAACATACATACATCAGAGTGTCCGTTGCTGCACACAATGTCCAGTGTAATTATATCCCAGTCTCTTTATACACCTGTACATCAATGTTACTTATACGACAAATTATTGTTTATGCATCGAATTGACAGGGTATTTATATAGTATCATAAATCTAGAAAATTCTAGAAGTTGTAAGTACATGATTTTACTGGAAAGTTCTGGACATACACAAAGTTCAAGAATGTTCTTAAAAAAATGACCGAGCATGTTGACCACTCTGGAATGTTCAAGAAACTTAATGTTACTAATAATAGACATGATGAAACAATACAAATACAACACACCTCACAACACCTCCCCCCTTATAAAGTTTGAATGTCAATGAAAACTTATATTATTAAAATAAAATATATGTACATTAATACAAAATCTAATTTGTTCATGATACTCTGGACAAGGCATCTGCAATAACATTGCCTTTGCCTTTGATATGCTTAATTGTTATGTTGTATTCTTGTAACAACAAACTCCATCTAGTCAGTCTTTGATTTTTGTTTGACAATTTATGCAAAAATGTCAGGGGGTTGTGATCAGTATATACAAGAATTGGATGCAATGTAACATTCAGATAAACATCAAAATGCTGTAAGGCTAACAACAAAGCAAGGCATTCCTTTTCAATGGTGGAATACTTTTGTTGACATTTTGTAAGTTTCTTTGAAAAATAAGAAACAACTCTATCTACCTTATCACTATGTTCTTGAAACAAAGCTGCCCCGATTCCAACATCACTAGCGTCAACAGTAAGCTTAAATTGCTTAGAAAAATCTGGAGTTGACAGAACTGGGTTGCTCATAAGGACAGATTTGATTTTATGAAAGGATTTTTCACAATCCTTTGTCCATTCAAAGTTAACCCTCTTTTGTAAAAGATTTGTAAGTGGACTAACTACTGAGGAAAAATTTGGACAAAATTTTCTGTAAAATCTAGCCATGCCCAAAAACCTCATTAATTCTTTCTTGTTTGTAGGAATCGGGAACTTTGCAATAGCTTCCACTTTAGCCATTATGGGTGTAACATAACCTTGACCTACTTTATGACCTAAATACTCTACATAAGCATGACACAAAATTCACTCTTTTCAAGATTCACAGTTAAATTTGCTTTAGCTAAAATGTCAAATAAAGTACGCATGATTCGGATATGTTCGTCCCATGTGTTGCTGTATATGATGACATCCTCAATGTAGGCCTCGCATCCCTCAAGGTCTTGAAGAAGGGAGTGAATCATCCTTTGGAATGTAGCCGGTGCGTTTTTCATGCCGAAAGGCATTACTTTATACTGGTAAAGTCCATCTGGTGTAGCAAAAGCAGATATTTCTTTTGATCTTTCTGTTAACGGCACTTGCCAGTGTCCTTTCAACAGGTCAAATTTACTGACAAATTTCGCGTTTCCAATGTTGTCAATACAGTCATCGATTCTAGGTATCGGATATGAATCAGTTTTGGTAACAGAATTCACCTTTCTAAAGCCTGTACATAATCGGTAGGAACCGTCCTGTTTTGGTACAAGAATACACGGTGAGCTCCAATCACTTTTACTAGGTTCAACAATGTCATTGTCCAACATGTACTGCACTTCCCTTCTTAGGTACTGCAATTTTATTGGATTGAGACGGTACGGATGTTGTTTGATAGGCAGAGCGTCGCCAACTATGACATCATGACAAGCTGCATTAGTTTTCTTTGGAACATACGAAAAGATTTGATGATACTCATTCATCAAGTTTTTAACTTGTTCTTTTTGGTGAATGTTCAGATGTCCAAGTTTGGCTTCAAAATCAGCCAAAATTTCTGAGTTTTTCAAGCAGACACTCTGATTACAATCTTCCTCATTCATTTCTACACTCGTATCACTTTCAATATAATTTTGAACAGTCTTAGCATTGGCTAAAGTGGAAACTGGTTTCACAGAATTTCGGTCACACCTTTCAAAATACTCTTTCAACATGTTAATGTGACAAACCCGTTTCTCTTTACGTCGACCTGGTGTCTTAACTACATAGTTTACATCACTAATCTTGCTTTCAATTTCATAAGGGCCATAAAATTTGGCCTGTAAAGGATGACCAGGAATAGGTAAAAATACAAGAACCTTATCACCTGGTTTAAATACCCCATTTCTGGCATCTTTGTCATACCACATTTTCATTTTCAACTGAGAACTCTTCAAATTTTCTTGTGCTAATTTACAAGCATTGTAAAGTTTTTTCTTTGAAAGCAGACACATAATCTAAAAGATTTAGATCACTAGTCTCAGTCAGCCACTTTTCCTTCAACAATTTCAAAGGACCTCTCACCGTATGACCGAACACCAATTCAAAAGGACTGAACCCAAGAGACTCCTGGACTGCCTCTCGTGCAGCAAATAGTACAAGATGAACCCCATCATCCCAGTCTTTCTCATACTGATAACAATAGGTCTTCAGCATTGTTTTTAGGGTTTGATGAAAACGTTCTAGCGCTCCCTGGGACTCAGGATGATAAGCAGTTGATCTATACTGCCTAATACCCAACTCATGCATAACTTGCTGGAACAATCCTGACATAAAATTTGAGCCTTCATCCGACTGAATTGCCTTAGGTGCTCCTACAAAACTGAAAAACTTGGTTAGGGCCTTAACTATGCTCTTTGCCTTTATATTACTACGATGTATGGCTTCAGGAAATCGAGTGTATGTACACATAATGGTAAGTAAATACTGGTTCCCAGATCTGGTCCTAGGCAAAGGTCCTACACAATCCACCAATACTCGACTAAACGGTTCTTCGAAAGCTGGAATGGGATGGAGAGGGGCGGATGGTATCTTCTGATTCGGTTTACCTACCATCTGACAAACATGACATGACTTGCAAAACTTCGAAACATCCTTTCTTAGCTTAGGCCAATGAAAATGACTTAAAATCCTATTATAAGTCTTATTGACACCTAAATGACCTGCCATAGGTGTATCGTGAGCTAAACGCATGACATCTCGACGATAAGCAGCTGGAACCACTATCTGGTGAACAACACGCCACATTTCATCTGGGGAAGCGTCAGGTGGTCACCATTTTCGCATAAGGATACCATCTTTCATATAGAAACACTCTCCAACTTTAGTGGTCTCTTCTGGTGGAAGTGCCCTCTTACTAAGTTGAATGATATCTGGGTCTTTATGTTGTGCTGAAAGTAACTGCTCTCGGCTTATGATATCCTTGCCTTGGCTTTCTGGTAGATTTAACTCATCTTCATCACCACTAAATTTTGATAAAGGTTCATTCGTCACCGACTTCTTGATATTGTGTGGTTCCATGCTTGATTGAGTGCCTTCAAGGTCAGATAAGAAAGTGTCATTCAAATCAATATCAATAGAGGAATTCGTCTCGTCAAAGGTTTCAGTACGGTCTGCCTCCATTTCTCGTCTTCTGGCCATCGCTCTAGTAACAGCACAGGCTGGATAAATGTCATCATCTTCATCATCGCACATGACATTGGAAGTGATTTTCTCACAAACTATAGGATCTGGTACAACTTTTCCACCAGCTAAATCGTTGCCTAGCAACAAAGAAATGCCTGGAACGGGAAGAGTAGGTCAAACTCCTACGATAACAGGTCCAGTAACTAAATCTGACTTCAAGCTAATTCTATGCAGGGGAACATCAATGACGCCTAGCTCCACACCCTGTAATAAAACTGACCCACCAGTAGAAGTCTGCTCAGACAAAGGAAGCACGCCCTCTAACAATAACGTCTGTGCAGCACCAGTATCTCTCAAAATCTGGACAGGTTTAATTTCGCTAGAGTCACCGAGTGAAACAAATCCCTGAGACATAAAAAGCTTATAATCCTCCATAGAATCAATAGAACCGGACTGTGAACCCTGGACATCAGGAGTGTCAGAACAAATCGAAACTAAATCTTCTCTATCACCTCTAACTGCCGCACAAGCATGTGGTTGAGTTTTATCAAAATCATTTTTTCTCTTAAGTTTAAAGCATTCACTGATCAAATGACCTTTTTTCTTACAATAACTACAAGTAGGAAGCGACCCTATTCCAGAAGATCCTTCAACACGTCCTGGACCGGATTTAGAACTTGGGATGAAGACTGGAGACTTGTGCAAGACTGAGACCCTGAACCACTCTTTTTATATGTGTCTGAATTGGTAGGATTACTGCTAGTCTGTGATCTTGATACAAAATTCTTTTTATGAGACAGAGCATAAGTATCAGATATGACTGCTGCCTCTTCAAGAGTTTTCACATTCTTATCTTCTAAATGTGTTTTCAAATCTTGAGGAACACATTCCTTAAACTCTTCTACCAGGATGACTTGGCGCAAATTAGCAAAAGTTTTATCAAGTTTCTTAGATCTAAACCAGTGATCGAATAAATCTTCTTTCTCACGTGAAAATTCAACAAATGTTTGATTATCAAACTTTCTATACTTTCTGAACTTTTGTCTATATGCTTCAGGTACTAATTCATAGGCTTTTAATATTGCTGCTTTGACCTTCTCATCGTCTGAACTCTCAACTACCCCTAGTGCAGAGTATACCTCAGCTGCTTTGCCAACCAGTACACTTTGTAACATCGTTGACCAAACATTTTGTGGCCATTTAAGATTCTCTGCTACTTTTTCGAATTGAGGAAAATATTTGTCTACAGATTTTTCTTGAAATTTTGGAACTAACCTAATATTTTTTGCTGCGTCAAATTCATTCTTGACAAATGACGGTTCTGGTTGGTGCTGTAATCTTAATTTCTCTAACTCAAAGTTCATTTCACGCTCTTCTCTATCTACTGCTAATTTGTCTAATTCAAATTTCCGTTCACGCTCTCGTTCTTCTCTTTCACTTTCTCGATCTTCTCTTTCTAATTTTTCTCTTTCAAATCGCATTTTCTCTAACTCTACTTGAAACTGATATTCTGCCATTTTATAAGAGCCTAACTCTGATTTAACTGTATATTCTGAAAGATCGTAGTTTTTAAAAAGATGTTTTCTTCTACTAGTTTGTTTGCAACCTTAATTCTAATGTCTTGCTTTTTCTGAGAGGATTTAACATCTATCCCAAAATGCAAACCTAATGCGATCAAGTCATCCTTTTTTAACGTATCAAAAACCTGAACACTTGGTGAATTAAGAAAGTCTGTGACCGAAAATACGATGTTGATTTCTGCTGGCTTATAATTTAATTTAAAGTTTCAACTAACAAAATTCTGACAATAAACTGCAAAAATGCAAGAAATTCTTTATCCCGGACGAGCCCCCAATTCTGTTATGGGTCAGAATAACCCTAAATGCCAGCAAAGATCAATCACACAATTTAAACTTAACAATAATTTATTAACATTAATATATACAAATCATAAAGTACAAACTTAGCAAGAATCTAAAAATACATACATCAGAGTGTCCGTTGCTGCACACAATGTCCAGTGTAATTATATCCCAGTCTCTTTATACACCTGTACATCAATGTTACTTATACGACAAATTATTGTTTATGCATCGAATTGACAGGGTATTTATATAGTACTATAAATCTAGAAAATTCTAGAAGTTGTAAGTACATGATATTACTGAAAAGTTCTGGATATACACAAAGTTCAAGAATGTTCTTAAAAAAATGACCGAGCATGTTGACCACTCTGGAATGTTCAAGAAACTTAATGTTACTAATATTAGACATGATGAAACAATACAAATACAACACACCTCACAACATAAGAAATAAATTTAATTGCGGGTTTCGACCGGCAAGTACTGGCCTATCAATAACTAGCAAGTAAAGAATCCTAGAAGCAGAAGGGAAGTTAAAAAATCAAACAGGCTTCCTATTAGATTTTTTCCCTCAGAGAGATGCACTCTCGAAGTCATTGTGTTTTAAGAATTGTTATCATGTCAACTCCTATGGCAATACAGAAATCCAGCAGGCCTGCTTATGAAAATTTTCTAAGATATGGCTTAAGACATGTCTTTGGATATTTCTTAGGACACATCTTAGGCACATCTTAAGATACGTCTTGGGGTGTAAAACGAAAGCATCTTAGGATTATCCTAAGTTAAGATGTCGTAAATTCCATCTTAGGCATTTATTCTTTTTCTTTTTTGTAAATGAAGCACTACAAGAAGTCCCTATTTCAAGTTACCATCATATGTAGATGTGTGTGTGGGGGGGGGGGGTAAGCTCCCTTTAGTTCTTTAAAAGACTTTACTTGTTTTTTACTTTTTTAGAAAAAAACAATCGAATGAAATTTTGATCCGCTTGCATACTCCTACGCTTAGGGTAGCGACTAGCGAGTATGCGAGCAAATCTAGCATCTAAAGTCATATGCGAATACTATTTTGTATAATTACAAGAGGCATATGGGCCTTATAGGTCACCTGAGCATCATGCAACAACTTTCCAGTGATTGAATTTGATTCATGTTTTAAGCCAGATACTATGGCATTCACAATTTTGAAAGAGGCACCACTGATCATCATAACTATACACTTAGCAATTGCTTAGTCTGGTTACTTAATACCTAAAGGCAGGGTAGGGGAACAAAAAATGCATTTCAACTAATCAGTAATATTCAGCAATAATCAGAAGTGCCCCTACCACACAAGAATCCCTGACCCTTAGACCTAGGTCCACACATTTTTGAAAAGGCACCCTTGCTTTTCAAAAATATTTGATTAATACCAAGGATCAGATTTCAAACAATTAATTCATTTTCAATATATAAGTACAGCCCCCTGTATATGGTACCTCTGACCCGAGGGCCTTGAAATTCACAATTCTCGAAAATTAGGGCCCTTGCTCATAATAACTATATAGGTAGTTCAAATGCTTGATACCCAGGACCAGAGAATACAATTTTCAAATATTTAATGTATTTTCACTACATAATCAACAGAGCCCCGCTTTAACACCAGAACTGCTGACCCTGGGGCCATAAAATCACAATTTTGGAAGAGGCACTCTTGCTCATCATAACTATGTACTTAGTTAGTTATTTAATACCTAGGAGCAGGGAAGAAAATTTTCAAAGAATTGAAGTATTTTCACTATATAATCAATAGAGCCCCGCCCTAACACCAGAAACCCTGACCCTTGGGCCAGAAAATTCACAATTTTGGTAGGGGCTCTCTTGGTCATCATAACTATGTACTTAGTTATTCATTTAATACCCAGGAGCAGAGAAGATTTTCAAAGAAATAATGCATTTTCACTATATACTCCTCTAAGCCCCACCCTAGCACTAAAACCCCTGACCCCAGGGCCATAAATTTCATAATTTTGGTAGAAGACTCATTGCTTATTACAATCATGCAAACAGATTGACTGCTTGATGTCCAGGTGTAAAGAAGAAGATTTTTAAAGATTGCATTAATTTTAGTGGTTTTTGCCCCACCCCTCAGGCCCCAGAGGGGAGGGATCATGAAATTCACAATTTTTGTTTCCCTTCACTCATAAATGCTTTATGCCAAATTTGGTTAAAATTGGTTCAGTGGTTGCAGAGAAGAAGCTGAAAATGTTTAAATGTTAACGCACTGAAACCAACGCATCTTAAAGTCAATTAAGATATGACTTAAGACATGTCCGAGGTCGTCTTAAAGTAAAGACTAAGATTAGGAGGTCTCCTAATATAGGACAGCTTCGATGGACTCACTTAAGACTAGGATATGTCGTAAGACCGTCTGAAGATATTTCTTAGTCCTAATATTTAAGATAGCTTCATAAGCATGCCTGCTGGCGTTTAGGGTCTCATTCGAAAGATCCATGACTTTCTTACCATAAACGCCCTACCACTCGGTTCTTTTATTTTACTTTTGGTCCGACACCTTTTTCGGATCTTCCAAAGCAAAACATTGACTTTGTCATTATAATCAGATGGGGGACTGGGGAAGGTATCATTCGAGGAGCTCAGAGGAACCAGTACTTACCTCTAGTTTCTGTTACACTTTTGTAGTTTTTTTTTATATGACTACAACAAACCAAACATTTTTCCCATAGAGAATCTTCGAAGATGTATTTTGGAAAACTTCGAAAAGATAGCTGATGACATAGACGAAACGATAAGTTCCTTGACGATTAAAGCTCAAGACGAGAGATCATACAAAAGTGGCAATTTTGTGCTCAGTCAGGCATTGAAATGTGATAAAACTCTCGTTCGATTTTACTGTGCAGCAAAAGGAACACGTATAGAACGTCTTACAAGGAGTGCCCCTGCCAGACTGGGAAGGAGAAAAAGTATGTAAACCAAAGAAAAAAATCAATATGTTGAAAAAATTCGATGATAAGCAATTTTTATTTAAATTGTTAAAATCTCCGCAACACTCTGACTTATACGCGAATACTACTGATACTGGTTGGAGAAAAATGCATAAAGCAACTGGTTTTCCAGTGGCATGAAAAATGTAGAAAAAAAGAACTTTTATTGAAATTAATAAAAGGTGTGGCCGCCTTTTGGAGGGCCTTTTTTCCTCGTAGACAAATTAAGCGTTAATGTAAATTGACCGCAGATGTACTGTGCTTGACCTTGCTACTGAAATTGGAACATCATATGAAAAATTGGGGAGTATTTTTGTAATATGAGTGTAATATGAAGATAATTCGGTGCGTAAAAAAAAAGAATGGAGAATAGGGCAGCATTCTGTAGAATTACTTAACCGAATTTGACATTAGGACGAGATGCCTATGTAACGTGACGTGACCTACTTAACTTTGCGTTACGTCGAAGTCTCCTCTTGCTTTTATAACTTTATCGTGTGACCAATTATTGGTAATTTGAACGTGGTGAAATTTTCCAGCATTGTGGATATTGACTCTTTAATATAAATATGCCTATTAATTGCTTTCATCAAATCATGATAAAATTTATGAAAGAAATTCAACGAACTTTTGGATCAACTATCGTACTTATGCTAAGGTATATTATACGTATTCAAAAATAAAATAACTCTTTCATTTTTGAATTTATTCAGTAGGATCATCAAATAGATTTCCTGGAATGAGGAACTACAAGAATCTTTTGAAGAAAATTAGAACTCGTGGATATATATTTTCTGTTGCCCCGAAAAGTAAGAATTCGTTTTTTAAACATTGATTCTACATCAGATTCAGATTCTTTCAAGCAATAATGGCTTTATAAAATGATTTTTAAAAAAAAACTTTTCAATTTCTCGTGATTTTCTAGAAAGCACAGTTTCAGAACAGTCAACAAGAAGGCCCACGAGGGAAAGTCTTTTCACAAATCTATCTTCAAAGGTGTTATTTCCTATTTACGTGTTTCCTGTCTTTGGTTGAAACAAAATATCTGTTATTATTTTATCTTGGATATTGATATATATCAATTTATTATTATTTCATTTTTACAGACGCATTTCTCCGCTACGGATAATGACATTGCGATTACCCATTCCCCTCTCATAATTAGTCGTTATGCAAATTGGAAACCGAACGAAGGACGTATGTGCTACCTCATTGTCTTGACACATTTATTATTGATGAAAAATCCTTTATCCAGTTATTGCAATACGAATCATTTTCTTCGATATGAGTTGGTTCTTGATTTTAAAAAATCTCTTTATATGAGTAAGCTTAAGTTTATAATTTAAATAAATATTTAAAAATAAGATACTAGTAAGAAATTTCTTTCTCATTTTTCATCTTTATTTCAAAAGTAGGTGGAAGTATGACAAAATGTGAGGATAAACTGCCTAATCCACGGTCTTCAAGGACAGTTTTTTACCCAAAAGCCTTGGTAATTGGTGGTAATATTAATTTCAGTAATGGACTTAATTTTCTTGTCAGATACCAGCGGAAAAATTAATTAGAACGGCATAAAGTCTTGAATTGGTAATTTTCTATATAAAGAATGGTAACATTTGAAGTTTTAGTTTAAATAAATAATGCTTATCCATTCCTCAGGGGGAAAAGAAGCGATTATATCCAAAAAGGCAAAAAGGTAAAATTGATTAGAAATTCTCTCTTTTTAATGAAAGTTCACATATTATTAATATGATTATTCTCCCACTCGTTGATGGCCTTTTTTATCTTGATCTTTGTAGAACCAGACGACAATCATACACGTTCCCATCCACTTAGTAACAGAGATGCTCTTAAGTATGATGGTACGTGAAGGCAAATGACTGATAAACAGATTTATATAAAGTGGTACATAACATGAATAAGTTGGTTTTTTTCTTTTGTTTTTATGATTTTCTTTGTCCTGAGTAATGGATTTTGGGATTACACATGTATATACTTTAAAAAAATATAGAGGTTAACTTGTATATATGGTCTAATAAATGCATAGTATATAACTATTTTTTCATCAGGAATTTTCGAGGAAAGCAATTCACAACCATGGAGGTTTCAACCGGTTAGTATAAGTAATGTATTAATACCTAGTACACATGACACATCTTGACAGAAATCAAATAAACATTTACATCAATCTAAAAATTTAGTTTTTTTATCAAAGATTTTTAAATATAACATTTAAAAACGTTCAAATTTAAACAATTTATCAACAATATATGAATGTGATAAACAAAATGATTAGGTTTAAACTTTTTATATTATAATTATGGTTAAACTGGCAAAGAGGTACGTTCACTGACTCCATGAAATGACCCTGTCTATATTCCAATGATCAAGTCCGAATGTCCTGTTTCAAAAATCAACAGAAGGGACTGTGTGCTTTCATTTCCTATTAAAAATATCTAGAGTCCAATTAATGAAAAATAGGCTTTGTGAAGCAGTCATGTTCTTGAATTTTGAAGAGAATGAGTGATTGAGTGATTTTGAGCATCTTCAACTAATGATAATAATTCGACTCCAGCCTGAGATCCAAAAAAAAAAAAAAAAAGATGGATTAAAATAAAATTAAACATTTTGGATCAGAGGTTGGGGGCTATGTAAGATACACATGAACAGCTTACACATTTAGCCAATTTTAAACTTTTTAAAAAAGATTTCAAGAAAATGACACAATTCATGACGTCATAATTTATGGACTCGTGAGAAAACTACGTTTACATATTTTTAATTGTAAGACAGTCAGAGTTTAAATGAAATTTAGCATGTTATATTTTCAACTAAAACTGATCAGTTCTGACGTTTCGGAACAGATATGGCCAAAACAGGCCCTAAGTGAAACTTGTTCTTTCAAGTATTAGAGTAAAAACAAAGATTGCTTATTCATTCCGCAGGATGGAAAGCAGAAATTTCATTTTCGAGGAAAAGAACAAGGTATGACTTCATTAGACATTCTCTAAATAATGAAAGCTACTTACAGTATATATTATAAAACCCTTCCTTGTAAGTAACTTTTATATCTTTATTTGTTCATTGTAGAATATGATCACAATGAAACGCGGACTTATCCACTCAGTGGCAGAAATGAACGTATGTATGATGATACGTGAAGGCAAATAACTGATAAAAGATTTCTATTTAGTGGTACAAGTACTTAAGTTGTTTTGTCTCATCTATTTCTTTCATTTTCATGACTCTCTTTTTTTTGTCTTGAATACAGTGAACTAGTAAGTTGGTTAATTATATTTGCTCAAATAAATGCAGAAAAAACACAAAATCTCTTGGAGTTAAAGGGTTAACTAATGTTTTTTTTTTCAGGAATTATCAATGGAAGAATGTTATCATCATGGAGGTCTCATCCGGTTAGTATTAATAATGACATTAAACAGAGTACTTAATACAAAGCAAATCGTTTTTATAAACAGGTAGTCTTTACATCAATTAAACTAACATTCACATAAATCCACTAGTTTATTTACATGTATTTTTAAAATCAAATATATTTTTAAATTCATAAATACAAATAAAATTTGTTCTAGCATATGATTTTTGTGCCACTATAACTGCAAAATTGCTTCTCCGTTTGCTTAAAAAAATCAGCATATTTCTCAACATAGACGGTTAAATTAAGAAGAAATGATACAAACAAAAAAATGGATGCCTAGTTGGTATATATTTTTTTTTTACCTAATTTCATTGCAAATGATGCAAATTATAGATTTCGAGAAGATAAAGAAATTGTAAACCTTCTGTGATGTTCAAAATTACACCCTTCTGAAACTATCCTTATTATTCTATACAAATATTTTTCATATTCCATGTTAGTGCAACTTTGAATAAAAAATTAAAAATTACGCGGTGAAATTTTTATTTTATTCACTTAAACATGACCCAAGTTATTATTTTTAAAATTATTGACAAAAGATTGCATCATCTGTCGTTAAATGTATAGGTTCTTGAAGATCACTTGCCATTGCTGAAAAATGAAGAAGTCGAGAAAGAAGCACGGTTTAAAGGTAATGGACTTTTGCTTTATTCAACTTAAAACAAAAAATAACAGCATTGCTTGGAAATTCTCAATTAGTACCTATTCTTCGTATTTTTCTCAAACACGTTTCAAAAAATTATATTTGCATTTTCACTGCTCTCTCCCACTATGAACGTGTAGTCATCACCTGCGTTCATAGGAGTTTAGACGCAACTGCTTCTAGCTAGCGCGCATCATGGAATATGCCAGCAGAGCAACTGCTTTTCATAACGCCATGTTCGCTGAATAACGTTGTTTATTTCTTAAGTAAATTGACCTTCCAGCAGTCATTTAAAATCGCATCCTAAATTTACCTAACGTACGTGTTTGTAGTAAAAAAAAACGTAGTAGACCATCATGCTTTTCGACTCATTCAAGAGATTGGACCATTGTTTGCTGTGAGCATGAGAGATCACGTGATCATAAATATTTCAATAAGAGGCGGTTTAATATCCGACTCGGAAAGAAAATAATTTTTATCAAATGACATTTCATAACTTTTAAAAGTGATGGAACGGAATTGTCTTATTTGCAGAAAGTATATAAAGTAATGAGACACCACTTATATTTATTTCTTTAAAAATAAAACACTAGTACGGCATTTATATCTTTAAGTGTCTTAAAGAATATTTGAGAATAAATCAAAGGGGTGAGGCATATATGTACGCCACGTATAATATATTTTACTGCTGAAGAAATAAGTTTTGGATTCATGGCACCTCATCCAAAAACTGGTATTTTTAGAGGTCCTTGTTTGCTTTACTTTCTATCTGAATTGTTTTAATGGAGTTAAAAATGTGATTACTGTTCCTTATATTGTATTTCATTATACTGCTCTTAAACTGTTTTAAGAACCATGAGTGAAATACTAGTACTTCTGATTCGACGCAATACAAAATATTATTCATTATTAAGTAAGGGTTTATCCCATCTTCATATGCTTTACTAAATTAAGTAAATAAAATCATATTAACCGGGCGTGAATGAATACCAGTAGTCTTCCATAACACCTGATCCTTCTAATATTTTATAGGTTCGTGTTTTTAGGTGTTTGCTCTGCAAACAAAAACAAATAGACACAATAAAAATTATAAACAGCTATTAGTATCATTTTCAGCATGAAATATGATGTTTAAGCATAATATTGCTCAGTAGATATGTTATTAGAATGACATGAACAGTGATGAGATTTCTCTTTCCTTTGAGTGACTTTCATGGCAGCCACCAATAAGATGAAAGTCACTCAAAGGAAAATATTGTCTTAACTAGTACGGAAATTCTTTTTTTTTCCTTTAGAACCTCAATTTGGATTCCAAGAAAAGAATACTTTTCCTTCATTAAATATTTCCACGGTTAGTTCTTCGATTTATTTGCTTAATTCATTTTTTTTTATTTTCTATCATTTTATAAATTTAACACTGAAGATTTTAACAAAAATTATAAAACTTGTTATATTATGATTACATATACATGTATATGTAAATTGTTTGATTATAGTTAAAAAAAACAAACATTGCTTATTTATTCTGCAGGATGAAAAGAAGAAATTTCATTTTCGAGGAATAGATCAAGGTATGTCTTGAGAAGAAATTCTTTCTAAATAAATAAAGTAACTTAATATTGTGAAATCACAAATTTTCGTTGGGGTCTAATTATCGTTGTTTTCGAGGTATGAAGAGTCCCACGAATTTATGTCCACTACGAAATGTAAAAAGTTACATACATAACTATTGAAAAGTTCACAAAACCAAATCCCCATAAACCAAGAGTTTTTACTCAAACCACGAAAATTTAACCCCATGAAAATATTGATTTTACAGTATCATCTTCGTTATGGACTTTACATTTTTATTTGTTCATTGTAGAATCTGAACTCTATCAAACGCGTTCGGATCCACTACATAGCAGAGATGTTCATACGTATGATGGTACGTGAAAGCAAATAACTGATAAACAGATTTATATAAATTGTACTTTGAGTTTTTTTTGTTTCTCTATTTCTTTTGTTTTTACGTTCTTCTTTTAAAAGTTTTCTTTGTCTGATTGAGAAGAGGACTGTGAAATATTCTAGCAATTATATAAATGCATACATTTGTTCTACATACTATATTAACTAATTTTTATCAGGAGTTTCCGTGAAAAGCAGTGTACCATCTTCGAGGTCTCATCCGGTTAGTATTAATAATGAAGTTAAACAGAGTACCTACTACATCAATCAAACAGTTTTCATAAACAGATAGTCTTTAGATCAATTAAACTAAAATTTATATGAATTAAATAAATTAGTTACTGTATTTAAATCTAATGTATTATTTTAAATTTCATTCTAATTAAAATTAAATGTTAGATCCGATCACATACTCTCTACACTAACATTATTAAAATCACATAGAGGGTCACGTCAGAGGTCAAATTCGGAACAACTCTAGAATTAATTGTTTCAAGTACGTCAACAAATATACAATTATTTTGCAGGCTACGATTTGATTGGTTTATAGAAATTGACCTCTGACGTGACCCTCTATGGGATGTTGTTAGATGTTAGTGTAGAGAGTATGCGAGCGAATCTAACGTATAATTTTAATTAGATTTTTAAAATTCCAATATAATTAAAATTAGATGTTAGATCAGCTCACATACTCTCTAGTACATGTAGTAATAAATACAAAAATTTATCTTTCCATTTTGTTGTATATGTGCCATTATATTTGCCAAACTGCTTTTCTGTTTGCCTCAATTGGAAAAAAAAAATTAACGTTTCTCACCGTAGAAATTTAATTCAATGTATAGGTTCATGAAGATCACTGGCCATTGCAGAAACATGAAGAAGTCGAAAAAGAAGCACGGTTTCAAGGTAATGGACTTCGGCTCTTTTAGCTAACAAGAAAAAACGTAATAGCAATGCTTAATGAAAAATATGTCTGTGTTTTAAAATACAGATATACAAATTGTACGTTTTGTTCTAACATTGCACACATCTACATATCTCTATATGATAATTTTCTTTGTGATTACCCTACAATTAAAAATGTCTCTATCGTCCATAGACGCTATTGAGGTATGTGATATGTTTTAGGCATTATCTTTGTTGTTAAACTTAGTTCCTTAGTCCCCAACGAAATCTGATTTATAGATTAAATTAAACAAACATTAAAAATACATGCGATATACTAATATAGAGGATATCAACATTGTGTGATTTTCTTTTGTGTATAATTGTTATTTACGTTTAAAAAGTCTTTCCCTTCAATTATTTTTACTCATTGTTTTCAATTTAAAGCGTAAGATTTTTTTTATAAATAGATATATTTTGATAAATCAAATCTATATTTTGAAGCGAAGGTTTGTGTTCGAAACCGAAAATGTTATTGTTATTTCTTAACATATTCGAGGATAAAGCAAAGGTGTAGCATACATGTACGCCACATTTTAGATAAAAACACTATTTTACTGCTGAGGAAATAAGTTTTGGATTCATAGAACCTCATCCCACCACCGGTATTTTTAGAGGTCCGTGATTGCTCTACTCTCCACTTGATTTGTATTGATGGACATTTGATTACTGTTCCTTATCTTCATGAATTTATTTAATTTTTTCTATTCTAAAGCTGATTTTAGAGCATAAGCGGAATACAAGTAGTTCTGATTGCAAGGCAATAAAAAAATTAATCAGTTTTAAGCATAGAGTTTATCCCCATCTTCATATGCTTATATAAATTAAGTAAATATGATTGCTCTTCCATGACATCCGATCCTTCCTCTTATCCATATGAGTGAAAAATTCTCGAGAGGAACATTAAAATCAAACAATCAGACTCACTTGAGCTGAAAGCTAAAGTGAGCTTTTCTGATCACCAGTTGTCCGTCGTTCATCCGTCTGTCCGTCCGTCTTTAAACTTTTCACATTTTCTACTTCTTCTCAAAAACGACTGGACCAATTTTAACTTAACTTGGTACAAAACATCCTTGGGTTAAGGGGAGTTTAAATTGTTAAAATAAAGGGCTAAATCCCCTTCCTAGGGGAGATAATCAAGAAGATATAAAAATAGGGTGGGGTCATTAAAAATCTTTTTCTCAAGAACC